TGAGTGATTATTTTATACGTGGATTGTGGGACTGTGGGGCTTGGTGGAACCTGGAGAGAAGCCCTCCAGCAACAAATATGATGGGGTAGAGTGGAAGCTCACGCATGCTTGGTCACTGAGTTCATAGGAGCAGCCACACAGAAGTTCCCTGTTGCATGGAGATTTCCTTCCTCTCGATCCCTACCACTGCACGGGGGCCTTGGAGAACTGTGCTCTGCTCCATGAGTTCCTGAAGCCCACCCCTCACTCAGTGCAGTGGCTGTGGTGGTGTCAGAGCAACAGCAGGTGGTAGTTGAAGTTCAGGTGTCAGCCCACCAGAAGAAAAACTCTCTGATGGGTATATCTCATTTAAACAAAGCTTGTGAGAATACAGACTCTAGAATATCTTCTGCTTCTACTGTACCTTTGGTATCTGATATAATGTATATTTGTGTGTGGAATCCCCCACTACCTGTATTGTAGTGTGTTTACCTCATGAAAATATCCGGATCTAATGGGCATTTATATCTGTGGATTGTCAAAAAGATGACTCCTCCTTAAGCTGTATAATTTTGATAAAAGTGAATACAAGGATATGCTACACAGTTGCCCATAAACTCCCCCTAGACACTGCTTTGGCTGCTTTGGATCACAACTCAAATTAATGATAAACTGGGAGCCAGTAGGGCTCGAATTCCTTTAATTTCATGGTACCACTAGCTGATACAAAGCTTCAAAAAGCTTGAGATTAGACCAGATGCCTTGCTAATGGCTTTTTAGATAAACATTTCCTATCTTGTTCATAAGGACACACAGCTGTACTGCCTGGCTAGATTATAAATACAAAAACAGTCCAATCATTGCTAGCTGGCAAATGATTAAGTCCTTGCACCCATTCCTGACCTCGATTTGTAAAAATAAATTCTGACTAGTCAAGGCTACAGAAAATAATTTGACTCTGTAGCCCCAAAGGAGGGCTGCAGGTGTTCTTGGATCATCAGAAGTTAGAGTGTTTGAGTGTGGAGGGGAAGGGAACAGAGGAGCAACAGAATACAATGTGAGAGAGAACAGCAAGGTGAGAGCAAGATGAAAGAATGTGTGAATATTTTCCCTCCCTAAAACCCCTCAGATAGAAATCTTAACCTTGCCAATGCTGTGGATTCCTTACAAGCCCTGTGTGCAGCCTTGGGACTGGTTACTCAAGGCTGCAATAACTCAGGCCCTTGCCCCATGGTGTTCTTCAATCCCTCCCTCCCGTACCCACTGTCTCCTCTTTTTAGTTTGCTTGCTTGCTTGTTTGTTTTTCAAGACAGGGTTTCTCTGTGTAGTTTTGGTGCCTGTCCTGGATCTCGCTCTGTAGACCAGGCTGGCCTTGAACTCACAGAGATCCTCCTGGCTCTGCTTCCCGAGTGCCAGGATTAAAGACATGCACCACCACTGCCTAGCCGAAAAAAAAAAAATCTTATTCCTGCTTAATACACAAGAAAATGGTTTTTAATACAAAAATATCTACTGTTGAACATATATCTTTTAAAACTAGTCAATTCTGGGTCTACTCATCCCATTGATCTTACCAACTTTCTCTGTTCAGTACGGGGTAGAGTGAACTGCAGGTGCTAGACTGACCCATGGTATTCAGGGGACCCCAGGGAGGGACGGCACCAGGCCCTCCAGGGCTCCTAACTCAAAGTCCACAGCCCAGGCCATTCTTTGCTAGGTGGCAAGTGAGTGTGCGTGGCCATGGCCGTGGGGTTCCTGAGGGCTCCTGCACTCTCCCAACCTCTCTCAGGCCTCGGAGTGCTCACGTGGCGAGGTGGCATGGTGCTTCCTCTGTGGTATGAGGCTTCATGGGGACAGGTGCCCCAAAATAAGGAATACCAGAGGGACCAAGCAGTCTTCCTGAACTCTGTCCCCAGTGAATGCTTGTCTCCCTGAACTCTGTCCCCAGTGAATGCTTGTCTCTGGTGGGCCTCGGCTAGCCACAGGATGCCAACTCAGCCAGAGAAGCCTCTCCCACAGCTGGCTGTCCAAGTCATCTCATGTGTTTTATTTAAAATATCTTAAATTAGTTGCTCATGTTTAAAAAAAAAAACAGTAGGAATAATCTAAGATATTGGGTTTCTTGATTTTCTTACATACAATATTGACAGGAAATAGCTGGCCTGCGTTGGTTCCTGGCACAGCATCCACTGATTCAAGTGAAGGATCTCCATCTAGATGAGGAATGGTCACATTGGTTCCCTAATAATAGACACACCCCAGCCTCCTGGGCATCCATGTCCTCATTCCATCCCACTAGTGTCAAGGGAGATCATGCCTCTCAAGTTACTGGCTGATCCTCCAGCTTTCCCCATCCTAAGCCTACAACTCCCACAATGGCCATCCAGAAAACAGAGAAGCCAATCCCAACGTACTTTATTGATTCTAAAGAAGGACCCCTGCATTTTTATATTGAGGCAGGAGTTCTTGAATTTTGTGCCGGGGTGCTGAAACAGCTTGGACAATCTTCAAGGGGGATAGGTATTTCTGGGGTGCCACAAAAACGGGATAGCGTGGTTTCACCCTCTTGTTGAGGTTACACAAATCCAGGGTCAAAGACTTAGGGTTGTAGATCTCTTTCCTCTTGGTATGGAGCGGGGTGAAGGGCTGCTTATTGAGGGGCTTCACCAGCAGCCGCAGCAGATCCTTCCGGAAGATATTCCAGCTGTTTTCTTTCAGGAACCTCTGACACAGCTCTTCATCGCTGGAGGGCAAACACAGAAACTATGCTCCAGGGCTGCTCCTGGCCTTTGCCCTCCATCCAAACGGATTCCTCCACCTCTCCTTTCAAAGCCTAAACACCCCCTGCCCCCTGCCCTGCTGGTCCCCACATTTCTCCCAATTCAGTTCCTGAAGGCTGTGCTATCCTCCTGTCATGCTGGAGTCCCTGGTGGGCTCCTGAGTGCCTGAAATGTGGCCAGTGTGAATTAGACACACGACATAAAGAAATGCGAATTACTAATTTTCAGATTGATGCGTTGAAGTGATACTTCTGATATACTGAACCCAATAGAGTAGACTGAAGTTAATTTTTGTGGATAAACTGGAGATGGTGGTGTATGCCTATAATTTCGGTACTTCTAAAACAGACACCAGAGGATCACTGAATTTGAGGCTAGGCTGGGCCACATAGTGAATTTGAAAGTAGTCTGGGCTACATAATACAACTGTTTCAGAAAGGCCAAACATAACAGGCTAGCAAGATGGCTCAGGGGGTAAATGCTTGTCATGCAAGCTTGGTAACCGGGGTTCAATTCCCAGAACCCATGTAAAGGTGGGAAGAGAAAATTAACTCACCGAGTCATCCTCTGACCTCTGTATGAGCTCCATGGCACATATGTACCCATACATACACATCATGAACACATACAGACACACATACAATAATAAAATAAATGAAAATAGTAAGTAAGACTATTGGAGAGCTGGTCATGGCACATGCCGGTAAATAATCTCAGCACTCAAGAGACAGGAGGATCATGAGTTTGAAGCCAGCCTGATCTACACAGCAAGTTCTAGGACAGCCTGGGCTACATAGCAAGAGCCCATCAGAAAAAAATAATGTAGCTATTGATCATTAGCTTTTGAGAAATGTCAATAAAAGCTACAGTGGGATGAGGGGACCACCACAGCAAGACCATTCATACCCACTAAGATGGCTACCCCCAGAAGCATGGAGATTCTGAATCTGGAGTGAGGGCTGAGGGATGTAAACTGCTGCAGCCGCTTCGGAGAACAGTTTGACAGCTTCACAGAAGGTCAATGTTCAGCTACCACGTGACTCAGGAATTTGCCACCAAGAATACACTTAAGAGAAATGAAAACATGTTCGTATACAGCCTGCACAAGAACGTTCACAACAGCATCGTTCATAACTTGAAAAGCAGAAATAATCCAAATGTCTATCAGGTGATGAAAAGACAAAGTCTGTCTGTCTGTCTGTCTGTCTCTTATACACACACACACACACACACACACACACACACACACACACACACTTGTAAAATTATTCTTTTACATGAAATTTCCAGAACAGACAAATCTGAGAGAAACAGTGGCTGCCCTGGGCTGGTCCTGGTGTCTTAATCCTACCTGGACCCTCCCTCACCGCATCTGAGGGTGAGGAGGCAGAGTTTGAGGAGCTCAGGACTTATTGGCTCATTCCTTCTGATACCTCAGCAAGGGAAGGGCATTGCCAAACTTCCTCTGATTCATCTGGTCTCACCTATGAAAGGATGCAAAGCCCTAACACCTCACCGGTAACCATGTCAGTCCCTGGCTAACCGACACTGGTCAGGACCAAGGCAATTGTGATCCCTAGAACTCAACCTAAGAAAACACCCAGCAGTCAGGATGAGCTACAAAGTCCTTCAAGTCTCAGTAACGTCCCTGCCCACTCATGAAAGCTAACTGTGGGCATCTCTTCTCAATGCCATGTTGGGTGGCATCATGTTGGTAGCTGGAAATTGGCTGGATGGTATCTTCACACCACAGAAATCAGCACATGTTACTTGGCAAGATTGTCCCCTGCCTCCTAGCAACCTGGCTGGCAGACATTTACCAGCACATGGCCTGGACGTTCTCCTCTCCAAAAGTTCTATTAACTCACATCTCCTTACACAACACAGAATATTATCTGATTCTGACCTAGCGTTTACCACATGCCCAGCCCTTACACTGGTCAAGTTTTTTTTATTTTGTTTTGTTCTTTTGGTTTTATTTGTTTGTTTGTTTTTCTGTTTTTCAAGACAGAGTTTCTCTGTGTAACAGCCCTGGCTCTCCTGGAACTCCTTTTGTAGACCAGACTGGCCTCGAACTCACAGAGATCTGCCTGCCTCTGCCTCCTGCCATTGAAACCCCAATTTCTTTTGTTTTGCTGAGATTAAAGGCATGAATCGCTATGCCCAGCTACATGGCCTGAGTCTTCAGTTTTCACAACTAACCCATTTCACAGACATGAACCATGGGCTTGAAGAGGCCAAAAGAACTTGCCAAACCCTATGAGAGATAAGCACATAATTACACATTCCTACAGGACCATTTATTTTTGGACCCAGAGTCCAAGAGATAAAACTGCATGTCACCCATGGGCACTATGGGTCACACTGGTTTCTAGTCTATTTTTGGAGTGAACAGAACAGCGAGTGTCCTGCTCCAAGCCCCAGCCTCTCCTAAACTGGCTATATCAGCTCTTGGTTTCATTCTGTGTGCCATGACCTCTTAGACTATGAAGGGAGACTTTTTAAGTTGTCCAGCCTATGGCATTCACAGGACAGGTGTCTGGGTTTAAATATGAGGCATTTGAGCTACCTGATGGATCTATGTCCTGCGTGACTGAACAGTCTAGGACACCATAAATTCAACAATTAGTGAAGACAGAATCCTGTCTGGCAGCGCTGAGATGGCACCACGAAGTGCTTGCCAAGCAGTACAAGGGCAACTTCTCCAAACAGCTGCGCACTCCAGCCAAAAGCAAACCTCCAGGGAGTCGACCTCCACAAACACTGACCCTGCCTGATGCATCATGGGAGAGCTGAGGCTCCTTAGACCCTTCATCCCGGAGGTTGGCCTAGAAGACCATTTTTAATAGTCACACTCAAGATCCAGAAGAGAATGGCTGGAAGAAGCCACCAGCGATTTTCTTTTCTTTTTTGTTTTGTTTTTTGTTTTTCGAGACAGGGTTTCTCTGTGTAGTTTTGGTGCCTGTCCTGGATCTCACTCTGTAGACCAGGCTGGCCTCGAACTCAGAAAGTCACTGGCTCTGCCTCCCGAGTGCTGGGATTAAAGGCGTCGCCACCACCGCCCAGAGCAACCAGCGATTTTCAACTGTTTCTCTCCCCAATAGCCCCAACTTTGGCCACGTCTACATATAAACTGCTCTTTGATTTGCTCATAAATTTTCTTAAATCTACTCCATTTCTTTTGTTTTTGTTTTGAGTTAGGGCCTCATGTAGCTCAGACTGGTCTCAAATTTACTAGATAGCCTTGAACTCCTGACCTCCTGTCTCTACTTCCCAAGTGCTGAGATCACAGGGCATAAGCTGTCATGCCCAGCTCCAGTATCTGCACTTAAATGTCTCACTACCCCGAGGAACAGATGAGTCCAGTCCAGGGTTTAGTGAGTTCCTAATGTTATTTCTCTAGTTCACACTAGAATCTGCACCTAGTGTCAAGACTACCTAAGTAGGTGTGGGGCAGGAGGAGACAGGGGCGAGACAGAGGCTTAGGGAGAAAAGAAAGAGAATAACAAAATAAATTTTGTTTGAAAATGCTACAATGAAACCTAATGCACGTGCACTGATTTAAATTTTTTAAAAAATAAATGGTTAAAAATTTCACATACACACAAAACCTGTATACACCTGAAAACACCCTGTCATCGGTCTGAATGAAAAAAAAAAAAAAATGAGGCCATGACTGCCCCTAGGTACGGTGGTGGTGAAGGCTTATTGTAATATGAGGGAGAGTACAGCCAAAGGCATTGGGAAGGGTCCAGACTGAACACGGCAAAAAAATAAACCAGACCTGGGAGGCGGGGGTGGGGGTGGGGGATGAGTGGGGGGGGATGAGTGAGGGGGGTGAGCGAGAGAGGAAGAGAAGGGGGTTGCTAAGAGACACCAAGTCCCTGGAGGGAGAGGATTTAGGGTTGGGGGTGGGGTGAGAAGTGCTGGGAGGAGCCACAGGTACTGAGGGATGCTGGGAGAGCTAGCCAGTGTCCTCTTTGATATGTTAACAGGCACCTCAGCTAGCCATTTTTCCTGGGTTTCTTTGGGACCCCAATCCGTCTGTATCCTACACTAGCAGAAATGCCTAGCTAGTCAATTTCTCTTCTTAAAACATTTTTTAAAGACTATATATATGTCTGTGCACCATGTGTGTGCCTTCAGAGGTCGGAAGAAGGCTTGGATCCCTTGGAACTGGAGTTACAGATGGTCAGGAGAAAGAAAGCTGGGTTCTCTGCAAGAGCAACCAGTGCTCTTAACTGTCTCTCCAGTGCCAATTTCCTTTGTCCTGTTGACTGGACTCTACCTAGAGGCCAGGGTCCTCTCCCTAGCTCCAACAGTAATCTTTTATTCAAGCGAATGCAGCACCGTTTGCTAAGCTGTCTCCTCCGTGGGACACATGTGGGTGACCGTCACTGTTTATTGTGGATGTTAGGGCTTTGCACATCTTAATGTACGTGGCTTTCCCCAGATTTTGGCTTTATACAGACAAATTCACAAGTGAATGGCTGACTCAGAGGGAGAGATGGTTTTAGAGCTAGCTCTTTGAAACGCCTTGCTGAAAGTAGCATCAGAAGCTGCAACTGTTCTGAGTAGAATAACAACCCAGTTCATCGTATCACATCAGTTCCAACACACACACAAGCACACATGCGGACACACGCGCGCGCACACACACACACACACACACACACACACACACACGCGCGCGCGCGCACACACGCACACATGCACACACACACATGCACACATGCGGACACACGCTTTCTTTTGCTAACAGAAGACCTTGTTTGGTGGATCCAAAGGCCTTACTAACATTTCCAGCACTGACCTGGGATAATCCACGTCCATCTTTATCATCTTTTCTTTCGTCTCCGCATCAATCAACTCATAAAACTTTTCTTTTCTCACCCGTATCAACTCTGTTCCCATGCTCAGAAGGATGAAGGGTCGAAGATCACGCAGGCATTCCGGAAGAAAGGCCTGGTGAATGCCCTAGGGAGAAGTTACAGAAAGCTAAAACTCACAGAGCAGCCAGACCCACCAGCCGATTTTCTAGATGGGAAACATGAGGTTTTGGGGGGTAGCGGGGAGGAGGCAGGGTGTGTGATCTGGAGCTTGGCAACCCAGGGCTCCATTTGCTACCCACTGTTCTGGTGGAAGATCCACCTCAATTCCCCTCCCCCATCTCCTTCCCCAAACCCGGCCCTTCAAAGCCTGCCAAACACTGCTCCTCCCCCAGAGAGGCTCAAGACCACTCCTACGGGGTATTTAAACAGCATCTTCCCCCCAAAAAAACAGACACATGGTTTTTCCAGGCTCTCGTCCTGTCTCCTCCACAACGCTTTACCCATTAAACCGGGTTTTTTTCTAATTTGGTCTGATTTGGATTGCTGCATTGGCAGAGAGGCTTTTCGGAGTGCAAAAACTTACCACCCACCCACACAGAGCCCAGTCCTGGAACAGCAGGGCCCTCTAGGTCCTCCTCTGTCCCAACACCACACAGCAGGTTCTGCTCTCAGGGCCCCTCACACCACTGTGCTTGAACCTTCCCAATGCCCAATCTCAAATGACCCATTCATTCCTTCATTCAGGTTGAGATGGAGTCTTGCTCTGTTGCCCAAGCTTGCCTGTGTCTGAGTGATTGTTTCACCTCAGCCTCCTGAGCGCTAGAACAGGCCGAACACCACCATGCCTGGCCCTCAAAACACTTCTTTCTGCTGAGCAAACCCATTTTCTCTTCTCCTTCTTTTCTTCTTCTTCTTCTTCTTCTTCTTCTTCTTCTTCTTCTTCTT